CTTGTCAGAGAGGGAACGGCAGCCGCGCATGTTTCCTCGCGAGATCCACCCGGTCCGGAGGCTCCCCTTCCTCCCCAGGGGCTGGGATTTTCCTGGCTTTGCGATAAACAGGGAGCAGTTTAAGTCCGTTTTAAGAGTTTCTTAACAAGTAGGGGGGAAAACATCGCGGAGCTGCTGGGAGGCATTTCTAAAGGCAAATCAGAGCTAGGATCCGAACACACGAGCCCTTACTCTGAAAACACTTTAAGAGTCACCCAGAAACTTTCACCAGTAAATAAAACCAGAGACCCTTGCGCTCTAATATGTTAGTTGAAGCTTATCTAATCTTAGCTAAGTAGTTTTCTCCCTTTCTGGTGTTGAGTAAACAGGCTCAGTGTATAGAGATGTCCTATTCACAAGTTTAGGGGTGTTCTTTCTTTCTCTTCTCCTATAGAAAGTAAAAATCCTAAATAGCATTGAGTAGCCCAGCCCAGGGGACAGTGATTAATGATAGTAGTGCATAAAGGTTAACATACTTCACTGAAAAGTCTGTTGACTGGGATCCTTGTGATACAATGTGGACCACTGCACGCCTCAAGAGAATCCTTTTGTTGTCCTCCCTGATTGTGTCCTCAAAATTCTGCCCACGAAAGTTTGCCAACCCTCCTGCCCTAAGAGTTTAATAGTTTCCCTTACTCTGCTGGCATTGTGTACTGGTGAAAAGCAGCCCCTTTCTATTCAAGTGTTGGTGGTCATCTCAATAGATCTACAAACGCCCATATGGTGACCACTGTAGATGAATCCAACTGTTTAAATGGGGGAGAAAGTTGGGGTTTTAAAACATTTCAAAGTGTTTGAAAAGATCCTACCAGATTCTGTCACAATTCTCTTAAAGCTTTGAAGGCTGTGCCTATTGTTAGTTGATTCTAAACGATATTACTTTAAAGTTGATTTCCCACAATATTTAAAGGATGTAACAGGAGTGTTGCTATTTATTTTTAGCATAACTTTTGAAGCGAATTAGCATAAGTAGCCCTTGCCTCCCTTATTTCATCTTTCATTTAACAACATCAAAACGTCTTGAAAAATATGCTCTGAAAAGAGAGGGAGAGTTAATTTAGTGACTTCTCTGCCTTCACAGAAATGTCCATTCCTTTTGCAAACCGTTTTTGGTGTCTGCAGACACTTTGAAAGACAGCTAGACCAAGTGCACATCTTTACGTCCAACAGAAATGTGAACACAATAAAACTTTCCCTTGTTTAATGATAGAAATTACATTAAAAGTGGTGGAAATGCCCTAATTAAAAATGTACCACTTAAATGATATGCCAAACGTTCAGCTGCAGAATAGCATATTTAGTTAGTTAGTGAACTCGTTACTATTTCTTTTAAAATTACATGTTAAAATTTTAAAAGAAATCTTACTTTTCTCTGGTGCACCACATTACAAAGAATGGACAGTCCTTTTATCTAAATATAAAATTCCATTTTCAGCAATTATAGCCTGTTCTTGGTGATGATATAATTACAGCTGTGCTCAGTAATAGGTGTCAAGGCAATGCACACTCATACAATAGTTGAATAAAACTGCAGAACAATGCAGGCACTTCTAAATTCACAACCTTTAAAATGAAATTGACTGTGCAGAATTCAAATAAAAACTGGATAAATATTTTTTAAAAAAGATTACAAGCTTGGTTTGGTTCCTTAATAGCATTTTCTACAAACCTATCAACATCTAATTGATTAGATAGGAATTACTGATTATAGATAATATGAAATACTGAACATCACTATTTTAAATATAGCAAAAGGTAAATACATTCTGCAGAGAAAGGAGACTGGCATGGCATTTAATCAAATATCCAATAAGAAGAATAATTTTCAGTGAAAACTATTTTATGCAGGTTTTATTTCGGGGGAAAATGAGATGTAGATTATATGGTCTTGATATTTCATGTTTAATATTTATAGCATTATTGGAAAATAAAATGCTACTATATAATGTATGTTAGCCATGAACTATTACTTTGACACTTGAGGTATGTTTAAGAAAGGGTGTCAGCAAACATGGCTGACCTTGTTTATTACTGTATCTTGCATTGATAAGAAGCTGATAGTTGGGCTACATTTGTTTCAATTTCCTATTCTTATTGTTGCAGATGGCTGCCCGCAGCAGGAAGGAGGTGGTGAAAACACTAACTCCATCAGCTCTAATGGAGAAGATTCAGATGAGGCCCAGATGAGACTTCAGCTGAAACGAAAGCTGCAGAGGAATAGGACATCCTTTACTCAAGAGCAAATTGAAGCTCTTGAGAAAGGTGAGTGACATTTTCAAGCTGGCGAAGTAGGACAGACAAGGAAAAAGCATCCTGGTCATGTCAAAAGCTAAATGGAATCAGGCTGTTTTCATTTTATTTAATTTTAAAAGATTGAATTGTATTAAGTCAGTGGCCCTCTCCCCTTCTGTTTTGTTTCTTCACTATGCCTCAGAGGTTTATTTATAGACATGGCCATTTAGTATTTGAACAGCTGTGGAAATTTTGATTTTTAAAAGGAATGTAAAGCATCAAGATTATCCCAAACTGATACCAAGATGATGTTCACATTCACTTACCCATCTTCTCATCAAATACATATCAGATTTCCTAAATGCTGCTGTCCATACTGCAGATGTGAGCTAAATCACAGTGCTGGGACTCCCAAGCTGTTGGTGCTACACTGTAGCCTTGCATCATACTGTCACATGTCCAAAAGGCATGGGAGATCTTGCATTGGCAGTGATTCACTCTGTGCCATGCCACCTGCTGGTGACTGATTTCCAGCTGTATTGGGGCGTCTGCTGATTATGAGTATGGATTCCAGTAATCCATCCTTAACATTCCCTAATAAATATTAACATTGGTCCCAATCCTTCAAATCCTTGTGGGATCTCTGTGAGCTTATGTCCATGACTAAGGAACAATATCGCTATTTCTAACAGACATGCAAATACAGCGTTTAGTTTCACTGTCAATAAAATGCCTATCCGAGTATTTAGAGCATAGGCAACAAGACCCCGAATTTAAAATCTAGCTATTTTAATTTCCTCTTTCTAAAAAAAAAAAATCTTCGGAATGCAACATTTTCTTTTTTCAGAATTTGAGAGAACCCATTATCCTGATGTGTTTGCCAGAGAGAGACTAGCTGCCAAAATAGACCTGCCTGAAGCAAGAATACAGGTACCCAAGTTACAGTGTAATTATTTTTTTTTGTGAGTGACTTATCAAGGTGCATAGGATTCATAATGATCATTAAGCATGTAGACATTTTATATTTTAAAAGAAAAATCAGCAGATATAGGGTTATTTCTACATACAGTTTGTTATTCTTCAAAGAGGTTTTATATTATATTTTCCTTTCTTTATGTGAGGAATAAGTGACTCTGTGCATGTTATCCCAGTTCTGTAATCATTTTTTAAACTTCTTTTACTGTAGGTGTGGTTTTCTAACAGAAGGGCAAAGTGGAGAAGGGAAGAGAAACTGAGGAATCAGAGAAGACAAGCCAGCAACACTCCCAGTCATATTCCTATCAGTAGTAGTTTCAGCACAAGTGTCTACCAACCAATCCCACAACCTACCACACCTGGTAATAGAACAAATTCTCATTAACACGTCCTCTTAGGGAAATAAAACACAACTCTCTAAAAATAGATTATCATTTTTATTCAAGCTTAAACTAATGTGTTCATCTATCTGTCTATTCTGTTATAGTTTCCTCTTTCACATCAGGTTCAATGTTGGGCAGAACAGACACAGCACTAACAAACACATACAGTGCTCTGCCACCCATGCCTAGCTTCACAATGGCTAACAACCTGCCTATGCAAGTAAGTAATACATCAAGTTGTCTTTTAGATATGTGATTAAGGGCCAAATGTACACAGAACTCCCTTGGAAGGAAGTGGAACTTACAGTGTGCACAGAATGCAGAGACAGGCTTTATTATGAAATAGTGGGAGATATGCAAAGGCACAGGGAGGTGCTCAACTCTCACTGCAGGTCAGGGGGAATTAGATACACCTTTGAAAATATCCCTCTTCCAGCCAAAGGTAAAACAAAAAGGAAAGGCTATGGAATCAGGCTGGGAGTGGGCAACAAATGAATAGGGATCTAAAGGACTAGAATGATATAATTTAGAAAGGAGAGATGTAAGAAGGGATATTTTAAACTCATAATATCAATATTGAACTGAGAGGGGTGGTATGGGACTCCTTTAGATTGTTTTCCATACGTGTAAGAACAAGGAGGTGCCCAAAGTTAAAAGGCAACAGATAATATGAAAATGTCTCATAAGAAATATCGAAAAGAAAAACAAAACATTAACTTACGGAACTCACTGTTGCAGTAATATTGAGCTAAATAGCTTACAGAAATGATAAAAGGATTAGACCTTTGCTGCTTTGGTATTATGTCTACAGGCAAACTAGGAACACCTGAGAAAGACATGGATGTGATTAGCATCTGCAGTTATGCTAGCTAAGTTAAAATTACAAGAGCTGTCAATCCTCATGCTTGAAAGCATAAGTTGATCACCAGCTGGGTTACGAAGAAGTCTATTCCTTTGGGGTCTGATTCTATAGACCTTTCAGAAGCAAAATTCCTTCCTTTTTAATGGCGGGGGGTTGGCCAAGTAAGTTATTGGCCAATTATGGGAGTTTTACAGCTTTCTCTGATGCATACAGCATTGACACTGCTGGAGATGGGATATCAGATTAGCAGGACCACATAGCTTTCCAGTATGGCAGTTACTATGTTACTAATTACTCAGCCAAATCAAGTGAGGCAGTGCAGAGAGAGTATCCCAAACCTGTGGCAAAAAATAAAATACTTACATTGTTATCTGATCTGAGGGGCACTTCATTTACCTTTGAGGGTAAAGGACTGATAGTCAAAAAACTGCTACAGTGTAATGTCCCATAGATAAATATCAGGAATGCAGGAGGTCCTTTAACATCAGATTCATATTATTCCAACTTGGACTGGACATTTTTTAGACTGGTAAAATAATTTTAGACACCTATTTAGGTAGGTAATTCCCTTACACCCCTTTGAACACTCTGGCCTAAGTATTTTCTACTTAGGGAAGACTGCATAATTTATAAATATAGGATTTTATAAGTGGATTATGTACTGTGAGCCGTAATATATTAAAATAGAATGTATTACATAATCTGTGAAAGTAATTTTATGTCATGTCTTTCTGTATAGTTATTTATGTTAGTATTATTGTAGAGAGTGTTTATAAAGCGTGCTTCCATGTAGGCCATATGCACTTGTAGTAACAGGTTTTATTGGCTTGGGTTTGGGATGACTGGAGTTCTCATAAGGAAACCAACTATATAGGGGGGGGTGTGTGTGTGTGTATATATATATACATATATATATATGCACATCTGTGTATATTACACATGTGACTGATCTCACTTAAACTGGAATGCTCTAGTGAAGTTTTTTTATTTATATCAGTATTATGGCTGCTGACATGTGAATAAACAAAACAAAACAGCGCTTAGCTGGAAGAGGAAGCACATTGATTTGACCCAGCTCCCCAGCATCTGGACAGATTGGGTGCTTCAGTGGGGCTTTTAGGTACTTTATCTAATAGCTGATTAAATCAGCTATTAGATAAAAGTATCAAAAAGCCTCACAGAAGCATGCGATCTACACAGACGTTGGGCAAGCTGGGTCAAACTAATGCAATGCCTCTTCTAGGTATACGCCATACTCAGTGTGTGGGGCACTGAGCTGAAAGTAAAGCATTGGTTTTTTGTTTTTTTTTCATGTCTGGAAGCAGCCTACATGTGACATCAGAATCTGGCCCACACAGCATCTACCTGTGCATATAAATACCATAAGGCCTATTCTTTTCTGCACTAGCACCAACATTTCAAACTTAGATATCTAAAGTTAGGTATGTAAATCAATATTTAGGCACTGATACAATGGCCAGATTTTTTTTCTGATATACCAGGTACCTTCTAGTTCCAGTTAGCTTGAAAAAACAAACAGACAACAGATGCGATTGCCCTGCATCTCTGAAAATTTCTGAAATGTGTACTTAAGTAATTAAATATAGATGTAGGCATCCAAACTTGAGTACATAGTTTATTTACATTTTTGCAAAGAAGAATAGCTTCTATTATATTCTTGTGTGCTGATGTAATTTTAAACCAGAGAAAATACATGCTTGAAGTCATGTTTAAATTTACAGGTCTTTAACAGCATTTTGTCCTTTACTCCCATAGCCCCCAGTACCTAGTCAGACCTCCTCCTACTCTTGCATGCTGCCCACTAGTCCATCAGTGAATGGGCGGAGCTATGATACATATACACCTCCTCACATGCAGACACACATGAACAGCCAGCCAATGGGCACTTCTGGCACTACTTCAACAGGTAAGCATCCATTCATTTATCCTACTACGATACATTTCCTATAGTTTGGTTTTGCTGTTAATCTAATCTAATCTAATCTAATCTTTTTTTTTTTTTTTTTTTTTTGACTAATGGTAACCATTTCTCTACCAAAGAACATTTACCATTGGTTTAGGCAGTGGCAGGATTGGGCCCAGGACCAAAACCTTCCTAGGCTTTAAGGGTATATAATTACATCTTAAAAGTGTATATAACTTTAATTACTTATTATTTTAAGTTATCACTGAAGGGGAGAGACAAAACATACTTGCTTAAGGGAAGTGGTGTTCTAACAATGGCACAGCAGAATCATTCTTAGTGAGGTCCTGATCCTACAAAGAGTTAAGCCTGAGCTGAACTTCACTAGTATGAGTAGCCTTGAATATTTCAGTGGTAAACTTGTAATTCAATGGGATATTTGCACTAGTAAAGTTAAGCATTCATGCAAGTGCTTGTAGGATTGAGACACATTTGCTGATTTAGACTATGTTGGAAGCAGCTTTTTAAAAGATTAGATCTAATTAGCAGATCTCCGCTTATCTTGGATAAGAAAAACTAAGTAGAAAAAACAAGTACTAGTGTAAACAGAAGCAAATTAAAAACATTTTTTAGATTAAAACAATTTGAGGGTTAAAGGTTTAATGAAGTTTTGGTCTCATTCTCAGCTGAGGATCTGGCCTTTTTTCTTATAACATGATAATCAATTTTATATATGAAGGATGTTTAAAGCACATCAAACAGATTTAATATTCTGAATACAAGCACAGCCCTTTAAAACAGAAAAGCGAAAAGCTGTGCTCTACAGAGAAAAACTAAAATATACCTTTTTCACTCAATTTTCAGGTCTTATTTCCCCTGGAGTGTCAGTTCCAGTTCAAGTTCCTGGCAGTGAACCCGATATGTCTCAATACTGGCCAAGATTACAGTAAAACATGTGTTAATTCCATAAATGACTATATGGACAACAGTTGGATGTTCAGCAGTATTTTATAAAGGAAGAATGGCTCTCAAAGTACTTCTGTACTGCAACTGTGCCCTATACTGTAACACATGGAAAAGACTCTAACATGGACCTTTGTACAATGAAGGCATTATATCAGTTGGAACAAATCTTCATTTTGGTATCCAAACTTTTACTCATTTTGGTGTATTATTTGTAAATGGGCATTTGTATGTTATAATGAAAAAAGAACAATGTAGACTGGATGGATGTTTGATTTGTGTTGGTCATGAAGTTGTTTAAAAAAAGGAAGCCATGATCAACAAGCTTTGCCACGAATTTAAGAGTTTTATCAAGATATATCGAATACTTCTACCAATCTGTTCATAGATTATGGACTGATGTTCCAAGTTTGTATCATTCCATTGCATATAATTGGACCTGGAACAATACGCACTAGATTTATGTAAGAAAAATATCTGTTGGAATTTCCAAAGGTTGTTAACAGATGAAGCTTATGTGCAAACAAGGGGTAAGAGAGAACTTCAATGAAGAAAAGTTTGATAGATAAAAGGTAGATTGTGTCTTCGATATAATCCAATTTGTTTTATGTCGAAATGTAAGTATTTGTCTTCCCTAGAAATCTCCCAGAATGATTTCTATAATAAAGTTAATTTCATTTATATTTGACAAGAATATTCTATAGATGTTTTATACACATTTTCATGCATCATACGTTTCTTTTTTGGTCGGCAAAAGTTAATTGTTCTTAGATATAGTTGTACTACTGTTCACAGTCCAATCATTTTTGTGCATCTAGAATTCATTCCTAATCAATTAAAAGTGCTTGCAAGAGTTTTAAACTTAAGTGTTTTGAAGTTGTTCACAACTACATATCAAAATTAACCATTGTTGATTGTAAAAACCATGCCAAAGCCTTTGTATTTCCTTTATTATACTATTTTCTTTTTAACCTTATAGTGTGGTGTTGCAAATTTTGTTACCATAGTAGGTTAACATTATATATCAACTGTTATTTTAAATTTATTTTTGATTTTCAATATGGAAGGTCCTCAAGTAAATAATTTTATAGATTTTGACTCATGCAGTCTGTAGTAAGGGTTGGAAAAATATATATATTAATGTAAATTTTGTACAAAAGAAAGAAGAAAATGTTTTCCTCTTAGTACAGTAAAGTGCTAAATGCACTCCGAAATCTAGCACTCCTAAAAGGAGACTGCACTTTGAATTATTCCAACCAGACTGGTATTTTGAAATTGAATGTATATACATTCTTGACTTTTAAAAATTATTTCATCTAGGCTGTTTTTAAAAGAGCGGATGTGTTTGTAACAAAAGCAAAGCTCTTTGGGAAAGCTAAAACCATTCCCATACACTGCCACATAGCATAATCTTAGTGTAATTTTCCACTGAACCTATAACCTGGTTAATTTCTCAACATGTTTTATGTGAGGGTTGTTAGTGTGGGTGTGGGTGGAAAGCTGCATGTCAAGAAATAATGAGGGAAGAAAAATCAACAGACAACAACAATGCAAACTGTGACTGGCTACTGAAAGCTAAAGGCCTTTAGTCACTGGAAGTGAAATCTAAACATTCCCACATCTATGAATCTGGTTCATTGTAGTCCATTTGTTATTTGTAATGTGTGGAGAAGAACAGATCTAATGACTAAAAGCCAATATGCAGGCAGTTCTGAGTCAAAGCAAAAGCACTACAAACAGCCCTTGAAAGGAAAGATATTATGTGAAACTCTTACATTTTAATTTCTGCTCTGTCCAACTTATAACAAAATATAGATAACACTTCTTTCTAAACTTTACTAGTAAAAGTTGTGGTGCTGAGGCAATCCCTACATTGCTGACAGGATTAAATGCAGCTAAATAAAAAGTTCTTTAGCGATCACACAATGCTTCATTCACAGAACAAAAGGAAGTGAGCATAAATTCTAGAAAATATTACACTGGAATTTCCTTTTTTATTGACATTTGTTTATTATAAATATGTTCATTATAGAAGCATTTGATAACTTTATTTACATGGAAGTTACTAATTTAAAAATGACAATTTAAAAGTTGTTTATTTTTTAAAAAGTCTATTATTTACATATATGCATGCAGGTATATGTATGTCTACATGTGCATACACATAAAAGCTGTGGATCTTATTCAGATCTAATTAAACGTACCATATAGCAGGTCAAATTTTTATGCCATTGGCTCCCACAATAAATCCTAGGTAAAAAGGCTGGCATTGACATACCTACTTATCGCTTTTATATCTACCAACATATGTAGGTATAACACCCAGTACTAGCCTGTGCCATGAAAATGAAAGCAACCTTTAACACCTTCAGCCCCATGACATCTTTTGGGAAATGGTTGCTACTTTTGCATATTAGCATGTAGTACCACACATGTAGCCTGATTCACCTCTCATTTATCCGGATTTTCTACTTGCATGGAATTCCATTGAAATTAGAGGAGTTATTCCCCCTTTACACCAGCGTGTGATCAGGAGTGTGTCTCATGTCCTATATCTTCTTTACAGATGTCATATAAACATATACTCACTCTCCTTCTGACTCTATTAATGTTATCATGGAAGCAGGAACAGAACTATAATATGTGTTATAGACCAAGTTTATACTCTCTATTTGCAATTGGAGGAACACTGTGAAAGAGTTACATGTGAGAATGAATGTTGTGCAGTGAGAGGCTAGTTGACTGTAGCTGAGAGGAAATGTTTCTGGCTCACTGGCTGGTTATTGTGCTCTCGAAGATGGGGTTGCTAGAGAAAGTCCCTGGCTGGCCGCATGTTAGGAAGAAGGTAGGGCATTTGGTCCCCTGAGCAATGCCTGCCTGGAAGAGTTGCTACTCTCCGTGTTGGAGGCATTATGGGTTACAGTAATAGTTGTGCATTGTACTGGAGGATGTGTCTGGAGTCCTGTCAAGACCCTCTTCCCTAGGGTGAGTGGGGGAGTGAAAACAGCCTCTCAACATGTGTGAGCTCTGATGCCACTTCCTTGTTACTAGCTCTGGGCCATGTTAGACCTCAGAGCAATGTAAGTAGCTAACTGGGCGTGGAGCGATTTCTTATATTTAAGATACAAATGTGTGTGTGTACACGTGAGTCTGCGTGCATGTATGCATGCATATGTGACTACATGCTACTTTACCAGACACCAAGAACAGGAGGAAGAATTGATAAGTAGTGTGTAATTTAAAATCTTCAGTGTACTCTAAACAGTATCTAATGCTTATTTCATTCACGCTACTGTAGAATTGTGGTATCCATGAAGACTGAGATCTGCTATAATCACTTCATACTACTCAGATATTTCTGTGGGTCTGATCCTGATACCACTGAAATAAATGGGCTTTTTGCTGTTGAATTTAAAAGAACAATTTATTCCTGTGCATAGGGGAAAAAAAAAAATCATATTTCATAAGAACAGCTTGCACTTTGTTCATTAGTCTACCCTAAGGTATTACAAGATGCTTCACAAATAATAGGCATACAGGAATCAATATGTAAGTATAATTAAAAAAATTCTGTATTTTGTATTTAAAATATTCTGTTATATACTAGATATACACAGGGAAACCAGGATGACAGGTTTAGTATGCTAGCATGTATTTTTCATCTGAACACCCTTTACTGTTTAAGGCACATGCGTACTGGAATCACTTTCCACTGCTAAGACGCTACTTTTGGTTCCTTTAAAAAGGAGCACATCAATCACACTGAGCCTAAATGAGACAGAAAAAGAGTTACTTTCCGTTATGGATTATAAAAGATGGGGTATGGTGGAAAGGAAATTTTCTACCACAGCTACTTTTTAACCGTAATTTCTTTATTTACAGGTATGAGATGGGCAAAACAATCGTGGATAGTGTCTTACTGGTTTGATTAAGTGAACCTGGGGCATCTTTGGGGCAAGACTGCATTGTTGCTAACAGCAGACTAGGATTGATAAAGAACTCTGGAGAGCTTCCATGTTAAATGTTGTAAATGTGACCGCTCCCAGGACTCAGAATTCTTTGGCCATTTTATTTTGATGGATTTCTCTTACTTTACTGAATGAAAAAATTGTAATTTAATTTCTGAATATTATCTGCAGGCCTAGAATTATTTTAAGGCATTACTTTGGATTTTCATGGTATAAGAGCTGATGGAGAGGCTTGAAATGCTTTATTCATTTTTCCAGTTCATTTTTTTTCTCATCTGTAACATCGATAGGAGTCAAAACACTGATCTGAGTTCAGCTAGGGAGGCTCTTCTGCTTCCTATTTGTGCTGGTTCAGAGACACAAGGTCAAAGCACATTATTGCAAGTGTTCTTTTCTTAAAAGAAAACAGCATTTTAGCTCATTAAAATGTTTGCATGGTAACTGGCATTTCTAAATTATCCCCTGGTAGCAGCCAGTTTTCAGAAAAGTGACATTGTGGTAAGGACCGCTTCTTACCTTGCGAATTTCAGATTGTTGGGCCAAGTGAAATGGTTGGAGTTTTCTTCTAAAGGCTCATCTTCAAAAGTTCACTTGCTCTCTTAATGAACTGAAGCCTGCAGACCTGTTCCTTAATCTGTGGACGTGATTTTTACTCACAAATATATCACTCCCTTGGCAAAAGTAAGTGTTCAAATTACAGAATTAATGTGAGGTTGCAACTGATGTGGGAGAAGAATGGGGGAAGAATATCTTGCAGAATATGTTGCAAAGGGTGTTTTCTATTATTTTTCCTGAGACGCCAGGACAAGTGGTGTCTATGTCAGAAGTGTGGACAGTACATTCCTCTGTACAGAAGTGGTACATTGAAAAGGTACTGTTCCTGCTATGTTTGTGGAAAAGAAAGTATGAGCTATTGAAGACTTTCTTTTTTTTGGAAGATGATGCAGGGATAAGTCCCAATACCATGCATGTTAGCATGTTACCCATTTTGTAGCTCTTAAAGCAGGGGCAGGCAATTA